TTTACATTATCATAATTTTTTTTTGCAATAATCACATAATTACTATGTCATTACAAGTAGACAAGTTAATGGGGTTTGAAAAGTTTGTCCACTTATATTATTGCAGGCACCCATTTTCCATCACTTCAGCACCAAGGGATGATTATGTGAGCGTTCACATAAGGACTCTTGGTGATTGGACCAGGCAACTCAAAGCTGTCTTCTCTGAGGTAAAAAAAAAAACATATCTTCTAATTAAGAAACAAAATTGTTAGGACAAAATTCCAAGTGTGAATTGATATATTAACATATAATCTTGAACATGTGTTGATACAAATTTATATTTAATTATAGATTGATTCATAATTGTGGGAGATGCAGCGATCCCATCACGAAATCATTCTGTCGGGATTTGCAACCGTTAGATCAACTATCTCTGACTGTTACATGATGATCTAACGGTTATAAACCTGACGGAATGGTTCCGTAACGAGACCGTAGCATTTCTCCATAATTGTATCATCTCCAAATAGTTTAAAAAAATATAGAAGCGTGTTTGAGTTTGTTTAATTAATTATGTCTGATATATTATTATAACCTTAATTTATAAACTGGTTTGAAATTCCCTTAATTATTAAACCTTCTTTGATAAGTTCCCAATTTTAGTCATCAACTTAACCCCTAATCATGCAAATTTTGATGACTTGTAGACAATAATAAATATTAATTTTTTATTTGACTAATATGATGAGTTTGTTACATAAATTTTCAAAGGGTAGCGGAACTAATATATTTCTAGAAACAATAATTGATATAAAGCAACAAAAAAATGAAATATATTTAATAGGGAATCTTGATCCTTTCTTTCTCCTTTGGTGGATCTTTTTCTTACCATGAGAGAGATAGTTCATCCGCAATTGATAAATATAAACGAAGTTCTTTTTAACTGTTTTACGAGGGAAATGCTACGGTCATCTTATGGAACTATTTCGTTGAAATTTGTAACCGTTAGATCATCATATAATCATCGGAGATAAGACTTGGCTATATAAAAATTATAATAATAATAATAATAATAATAATAATAATAATAATAAAATAAATCGTTGGAGATAGGACTTGACTATATAAAAATAATAATAATAATAATAATAATAATAATAATAATAATAATAAAAAATAAAGTTATGTGCATGGCAATTCATTTTGTTGGTTGTTGGCTTGTTGATAATAGTTTCAAGTGTTGTTTGTGATTAGGTTTGTCAGCCACCACCTACGGGAAAGAGTGGGCTCCTTAGAGCTGACTTTATGCAAGGAGAGAATAATCCCAAGTAAGTTATTTATATACTTAATTCAATTTTAGTTTCGTTTTTACTTTTTGTTACATTGAGAGTGTGCCTAATTTACATTCATAAACTGGGGAGATGATACAGTCTCGTTACGGAACCATTCCGTCGGAGTTTGTAACCGTTAGATCATCATGTAATCGTCGGAGATAGTTGATCTAATGGTTAGAAACTCTGACAGAATAATTCCGTAACGGGACCGTAGCATTTCCCCATACTTTTTGTTTTTTCTTTTGAACGTTTGATCACTTAAGTTCCATTTTCAATTTCTCTTCCTAGAAAGTCTTGTCAAAAGACACATGTTTATACTACTACAATTCCATATTGTGAAAAGATTAGTAAAATTTCACGTTAATTTTAACACATTTTTTACGCATAACAATGACGATGCAGCTTCCCGCGTGTCTTGATCGACGGTCCATATGGTGCGCCGACCCAGGACTACAAAGACTACGACGTGGTCCTACTGGTTGGGCTCGGCATCGGAGCCACCCCTATGATAAGCGTCGTCAAGGACATCGTGAACAACATGAAGGCCATGGACGAGGAGGAAGGTGGGACCACGCGGGGCTCCACACCCAACGCGAGCCCCCTGTCGACCCCTCGGAGGAAGTCGGGCTCCGACAGGCGCGACTTCAAGACTCGGAGGGCCTACTTCTATTGGGTCACGAGGGAGCAGGGCTCGTTCGACTGGTTCAAGGGCGTGATGAACGAGGTGTCCGAGATGGACCACAAGGGAGTGATCGAGATGCACAATTACTGCACGAGTGTATACGAGGAGGGGGACGCCCGATCGGCTTTGATCACCATGCTTCAATCACTTAACCATGCCAAGAACGGGGTCGACGTGGTATCGGGAACCAGGGTTAAGTCCCATTTCGCGAAACCTAACTGGCGAACTGTCTACAAGCGTATAGCGCTTAATCACCCTACGGCACGAGTCGGTGAGCCATTTAATTCCAAATTTTGAACTCTAATTGTGGATTAATTCCAATTTTGAACTCTAATTGTGGACATAATTAATTAATTAAATGAATTAAATTTTGCAGGAGTGTTTTATTGTGGGGCACCACCACCGGTGAAGGAACTAAGGCAACTAGCATCTGATTTTTCACACAAAACCACCACAAAGTTCGAATTCCACAAAGAAAACTTTTGACTTCTTCTTCTTCTGTACAGAGAGACTTTAATCGGATACTACCAGACCACATGGTCCATATGGATGGCCCCCACCTACCACTATAGCGAGGGAAAATTTCATGTATTTTTAATTCAATTTAATTTTAGTTATTACATTTTGTTTTGTTCTTTTTATTATTGGGTACGTAGTAGTGTGACATCAACAAGAAATCATGCTTATGTCAGATATCAAAGTTTGATAAAAAAAAATTAAAAAAAAAAATGCTTTAAATGATAGTGGCGAAATAATGGGAGGTGCAATAATTCATTCCCTCACCATTCTCGTTTTGATAATTATGATAAATTTTATGTGTATAATTTAATTTAATTTAATTTCTAATTACTTTTGTCAGAAAAATAATTATTTTTTTATTTTTTTTTGATTAAATCATTCTGAATTTAGAAATATTGTTTCGAGATCCATTTACTGTTTCATTATCACACGTTATTCGTAACAAAACCCAGGTCAAAGATTTTATTCCCTAGAGACACCAACTCAAAATTTATATTTTTATATATATATAATTGCATAATTAATTCAATAGTCAAAATATGGCTTGAATAATTGACAATTATTTCATGTTTTCACATCATCAAACACATTGGCTGTTGACTCCGTAACGGAGCCAAGCTCCTTAGCATTATTGCCATAAAAGATCAATGTAAATTAGGTGCGTGGTGAGCATGCCACTATGATCCCGAAAAAAAAGAAAGACCAAAAGGAACATAAGTTTATACAGGTAATTTTTCATACATGTGTAATTAGGGAAATGTTACGGTCCTATTACGAAATTATTTCGTCAGGATTTACAACCATTATATCAACTATATCCGACAGTTACATGACGATCTAACGGTAACAAATTCCAACGAAATGATTCCGTAACAAAACCGTAGCATTTCCCGACTATTGGCTACGCGCTTTTTTTTTAATATATATGAGTCAATGGCTACGTTAACACGCAAAAGTGTTGTTAGGACCAGATATTCAATCAAAACATCGTTTTTTTGTCATTTGCAAGAAAATATATTATAAATTGCTCTAGAGAAAATCTACCTTACGGAAAAAAAAATTCCCGTCTATCACGCAGAGAATAACCATATATCTCTTATGTGCGCACCTTTGAATATTTTAAGTCGGGACAAAGTTAAATTGGTGTGAAATTGCCTCGTTCAAAATATTCAATGAAAATCGCAAAAAAAAAAAAAAAAACATGGAGAAAATTTCGAATTTTCAAAGCTTTTGCTATTTTGTAGAGTTTTAATTCGAAAGATGCAATGTCAGCACAAAAATACTATGTCACTGACACGTGGAATGTCACGTCAGTCGTAAAATGCCATGTCAGCGCAAAAAGCCCGTAATTGAGCCCTTGTGATTCAAATTGCAAAAAATTGTCAAAGTAGTGTATTAAATTATTGAATTACAAAGGTGGTGATAAAATTGTAAAAACATGAATGGTGGTGTCTTAATATGCAATATTGCCTATATTCAAATAAGCCTCCCGTTTGGTAGGCGAAGTTTTTTAAAAAACTTGAGCTTATCTCATAAGCTACTTTAAGTAGTTTTTCAAATAAGTTGGCTGAAATTTTTTTATTTCAGCTAGCTTATCAGCTAAATTTACCCAACACTAGATTTTTAGCTATAAGTTATAAGATATAAGCTCAAAATTAATTATCAGTTACTGTTATCAACTAGTTTTACCAAACATAAGTAAAATAAGACATGAGCTGAGATTTAATGATAATTCTTCATAATTTTATTTATATCCGTGTGCTTTTTTAT